GCTCGAGCCTGTTTTACCTCCGTAGATTACTCGGAAAACTTTCTGATAAGAAGTGTCGCCGAAATCTCACCAGATATGGATGACATATTAAAAGCAATAAGGTTGTATTAAATCGAAATGACAAATGGAAGAGATATGTTGCCTTCATCTATTCTGTTTTGCAATCCAAACCTCGACTATCCAATTGCAGGTTATCGGCTCAAAAGAATTGTAATCATCGTTGGCAATACAAACAATTTTAAATTTCTGTATAGAATATAGTTTCTTATAGGATATTGATAAATACCCAATTATGAGTAGCCTATTTCGCTTAATTGTTAATCATTTCTTGAAATTGACGCCACCACAACCATCAATCGGTGGTATACGAAATACGGACTAACGCTAATCATTCGATACAATTTCATAGACTTTCAATGCAGTACATTCCTGCTTTCTATGGCCTTGATCTAGAGTAGACGAATATTCAACACACTCCATGACTCTGTGGTATATGGTCAGTAACTGAATCATGGTCATGCATTCTTTTGTTTTCTCTGCGGCAATTAAGGGCTGAATATGCTTTGCACATAAATTATGCCATTCTACGAATACTGTGACTAAACTATAAAAGTTTGAACACTCTGAAATATAGCATAGGTTATTCCTATACCAGCGTCGCTCGTATGAAATCTATATTTGGAAATATCACAAACCCAAATCCACAAACGAACCCAATCGTTTTTGGCGTGATGCTTATTTCCACACATTTTGGATCATTGTTGCAAACTGCTTGTCTGAACAAGTATAGCTAATTTGACGGTTGTTGCAGTACGATTGCGGTGGGTATAAAGGAATTCACTACAATAATCAACTGTTCCTGCTCATTGTTTCACTTTTTGCAGAAATCACGTTGAAACTATATTGGCGCTCTTGCAGAAATCGTTTATATCGCAAACAGTATAGTTTTATTTTGTTATTTCTAAATGTTCTAGAAACTTCCAGAATATCACAGTTCAACATTTGTGCGATAATATTTACCACCACATTGCGTTTTGTTTGTGCGTTTGAAAGTTGCTTAACCAGTACTTTGTTATTCTTTCTTTTGATGGGTATAATTATTACTCTAAGTTACTAATGATTAATTGGTCTGGTTCCTTTTCTAGTTCACTAGGTCTTATCTGTTTACATCTGTTATTCGGTTATTTGATCCATGTGCGCTGCTCAGTTTTATAATTTATGTTGAAGCGGGAATGCGTCGATTAAAGCCTGGTTATAGGAATATGATCTAAGTGTTGTCTGTTTGTATGTTACAGGGTGTCCCAAAGTATTGAAAGCCATTAATTCGATTTCCAATTTGGTGGGTTTCATTTATTCTGGGACACCCTATAGTTCGGTTTTACTGTTTGTGTAATGTCGTGGATCATATGGGTATTGCTGGTACAATAGTTGATTACATATATATATATATACTTAAACCGAGTTCTGCGACAAGAAAACTACAAAATACTAATTCATTGATTAACATAATTTATTTTAGTTATATATTAACATATATATTATTTTTCTAACATTTATTATATAAAACGTTAATATTGGCTGTGTCTCATACATGGTGACTGAGCGATGAAAAGGATTACGTTTTAAGAAACGGTCTATTATCTTTAAGCTTATCGTGGTGATGTTCTAGTTACAATGATTCTCTATCTGTGATTTAACTCAGGTGAAATCAGATAAAAACGATTATCGTAAATAATCACCATAAGCTCTGATGCAGCCGGTGACACAGAATGAGGAAACATATGGTTTACGTGCATGTGATTTGTAACTATAACTCGGGATCAAACATCAATAATATCAGTCATAGATGCGCATATCCGGTGTAGATCGTTCAGTGTAGCGCCACAGTTTACTATAGTATCTGTGTATATATAAATAAAACCGTGTCCTGATATTATCATTGGCC